GATAATTTTGAACCAACTTTAAGAACAAAGGCGATTTATTCTTGAAAAAGACCACAAAAAATGTCTTTAAAGTGTGATTGTGCCATGAGTCGTTATATGAATTCACTTCCCCTTTACAAGAATCATATTCAACTATTTATACATAGTTTCAGCCGAAATCACATCAAATCAGTCAAATCAGTAACAGTACCAAGCTCATAACTCGGGTAGCCGAATTCTCCTACGATTGGTCGACGAGGTCAGTCGTCATGTGTCAATGTTTTTCCCCAAGTAATAATGGCCTGCAAGAGGCTTAAGGATTAGTACTTTAGGATGGGTCATTTCGGGTGGTGATGATGTTACCTGCGGCAAGTGTATTTGACTGATGGGGTGATGTGTCGGGGTAATCATGACGTTTTACTAAGATAACGGCGGGATTTTTCGACCTGGGAGAAGGAACCGAACTCCCATTTGCTTGAGGTGGGTTTAACGAACTGTTTTAATTTAGATCGGAGTTCGGTTGTCAACACATGATATCAAGCCTATAAACACACCAATGAGCACATCTCTAAAGCTTGATAAAGATGAGCAAGGTACATCCGTGGACGTCACAAAATATCGAGGTATGATCGGATCCCTTCTTTATTTAACTGCTAGTAGGCCCGATATTATGTTTAGTGTTTGCCTATGTGTTCGCTTTCAATCTAATCCTAAAGAATCACACTTAAAGGCAGTAAAAAGAATTTTTCATTATCTAAGTGGTACGAGAACTTTAGGACTTTGGTATCCAAAAGGCACTCATATTGACTTAATTAATTATTCGGACGCCGATTGGGCCAGATGTAATGTTGATCGTAAAAGCACTAGCGAAAATTGTCACTTTCTAGGTTTTGCACTTGTGTCTTGGTCTAGTAAAAAACAAAATTCCGTTGCATTATTCACCGCCGAGGCGGAATATATCTCGACCGCTAGTTGTTGTGCACAAATATTTTGGATGAAACAAACTTTATGTGATTATCATTTGACTTACGATCATATACCTATTTTATGTGATAATACTAGTGCCATAAATTCGTCTAAAAATCCCGTTTTACATTCACGAACTAAGCATATTGAGATTCGACATCATTTTCTTCATGATCATACCCAAAAAGGAGATATTGAATTAGAATTTATAAAAACCGAATACCAATTGGCTGATATTTTTACAAAACCTCTAGCGCATGACCGATTTTCTTGTATTCGAAGAGGTTTAGATATTTTTGACGAAAATGAAGCGAACTAAACGTTAAATCATTTTTTGCACACCTTTTTATTTTTTTTAATTTCTCAATTTTATTTAAAAAAAAAAAAACTATCCGGACGCACTTAGAGAGTCCGGACAAGCTTGTCCGGATTGACAGAAAAGGCTGGAGTATCTTCAAAATTCTGCCATTCAGATGTACGGAAGAAATACTCGGACGTCCGAATCCTGAAACAATCTTTAAAATCGCGACCTGTGCATTCTTCTTCGCCATTTCTTTTCTCTCTTCACAAATTTCCTTCCACAAGTTGTTCAATTTACTTTACAAAACAACATATATTCTCTATTGCATCAAATTTCCTAGTAAAACTCGACATTTCAGCAGTCAAAAATCCGAATTTATGCCATAGAGCCGAAACCGAATTTCAAGTTTTCGAAGGGATTTTGGAACTCTCTCCATTTTTCTCAACCATGTCGGGTTCTAGAAATGAAAAACGGGGAAGATGAATTGTGCAACGACCCCCTTCACTATCGGATGAGGACATGGATTTAGAGCCGGAGGAGCCACCGAACCCTTTTGAAAAATTGCCCATTTTAATCGGTAAAAATGTTGATTTTATGGATTTTACAATAGAAGCTCCCGCTTTTCATATTGAAGAATGTTTTGAACGCATGGGATGGATAATCGTGGCCACAATGAAAGAACACGCTTATCCACGCCTTATGAAAGAATTTTATCAAAAAATAAATTTTACAACACGTTCCAACGAAATCACTAGCTCTGTTAAAAATGTTCGGCAATTTCAAAAGCATTAATTCGTCAACTACTTAATCTCGAGCCTTTTGACTTAGAAGTGTTTTTACATAAGTCTCCACCAACCATAGAAGGATACGATCCTTCTGAGGCATGTCGTCGAGTTACGGGGAAAGAATTCGAGAACATCACGAAAATAAGTACACATCAATTAACACTTCCATGCAAGGTTTTGCAAAACATAATTGCTCACGTTATTTTTCCCCGCAAAGGTCGTCGAGACGAAGTCAATCACTTCGATCTCTTTATTTTGGATACTCTACTAGTCGGGCGTAAAATTGATTTTCCTACTATTGCACAAGGTCTTATGAACCTTGTGCATGCATTACAACACACCAAAATTTTACCTTACGGGATGCTTCTCACAAAAATCTTTAAGCATTTTAATGTTTCATTGGACAGTGAAGATTTTATAAAATTACACCCTACCGATACTATTAACATTCAGACCTTAAAACGGATGAAGATAGTAAAGGAACATGGGCAATGGGTGGCTCATACGAAAGGGTTCGATCCTACCTCCGTTTGAAGATGAAGCTGAATCAGACAAAGAAGAACATGAAGTTCCTGCTCCCGCATCTGACATTCCTGGCTCGAGCGTGCCTCCTACTTCCCGAGAGCGTTCCACGTTTATCGAGGAGCACTATAATCTCCTCCATGGGCAGATTTACCTGATCGGTCAACGACATGGGTAGCTTACTTCTCCAGATGCAGGCTCAGTAGATAGCTATCCAGGACTGACAACTCGAGATGCAGCAGCAACAACTTGAGATGCAGCAGCGGCAGGTTGAGATGCAAGCTCAGTAGATTGCAATTTTCACTGAATTTTATGTTAGATTTCCACCTCCGGCCCTTTAGTTTACTTTCTTGCCTACTATTATTATTATGTTAGTTGTTATCTATTGCTCTTTTATATTTTAAATGGTTGACTTCCTAAATGATACTGTTTTTCTTCATGCTATTTGACCTATTATTTTCTTTTGCTTATGCCAAAAGGGGGAAGATGAGCAGATGATTATGCAACATAGGAACAACATAGCAAGGGGGAAAGTTATATAATGTTATTTGCATGTTGATAGGGAGAATATTAGTTGCAATATACAAAATTATGCTCCTGATTATTTGATACCATTTCAGTTTGTTCAATATTTATATTGCAAAAATCATTTTGTTTGTCATAATCAAAAAGGGGGAAATTGTTTAACTAATGGTTGACTTCTTGTTTTGATTATCACAAACAAATTGCGTTTGAATCTAACAAATTGAATTTAAGTTATTGATAGTGATTATTGTAAATTTATGATACGAAAGATCTAGAATGAGAATCTTGCAACCTTGGCACAAAACGACAAACACACAAGCAAGATTGAAGATTTACGAACGAGGAAATGAAAATCGAGCTTTCACGCACAAAATCGTATTGGATGAAGAAATTAAAGACATTAGCTATAGATGCATTTCTATATTCAAATATAAAGGTAAAACACTTTAATATTTTACATCAATTATAGCTCAAACAATTTTTATGCACGAGGATTATCATAACAAAGTTTACTTGCATAAAAATTATTTTTAAAAGATAAATAATTTGATTTTCACAATTAAATATTTATGAAATTACTTATCTATATGAAATATATAAGAAAACCCTACAAGTACCTTAAAGAACATTTTTCACGAAAAATGAAAAATTCGATAGGCAAAACAATTGCCCATCCGGACGTCCGGACGGGGTGTTCAACGGTCGAATTTTTTACCGTTTGACAAACGGCTAGTTACTCGTCCGGATACCAAGGAACGTCCGAATCACTTGTCCGAATCTCCTGTTTGATGGCTATAAATACCTCTTTTAAAACAAGAATTCTAGAGTATTAAAGAGAGTCATTTATTGATTTTATCTAACTTGTTTTTCAATTTTTAAGAGATCAAAATATTTATTTGTTGAAAAACTTTTTGAGTGAGTAACTTTTTGAAAAATCATATGTCTCAGTAAAAGTTTTTCACACAACACTTGAACTATATTCTTTGTGATTTATTGAAGTGTTGTGCCTAATTATCTCTTAATATTTCGTTGTGTTTATATCATTTGTTAAGAGAAAAGTTTTTCAATTGTAACTTTGATTTTCTTGTTCATTAAATTGTGGGTCGTGTTGAGGTTCCGAAAAACTCAACGTGTAAAACGATCGGTGCTCTTTAGTTGTAAGTCACCAGAAGCGTTGTAAGGGTTGAATTGCACCATAAGTCAATCAAAGATAGTGAAAAAAGGCCTTGCTCGTGACGAAGAGTTTGGTAACGGGGGACGTAGATCGTGATTGGATCGAACCTCCTTATTACATCGTTTGCACTCTCTTTTCCTTCCTCTTATTACTTTTGTGTTATCTTATTTATTCATAGTTATTTGCTTAAATTTGCGTCTATTTTCGAAAAAGTTTCAAATAACCAATTCACCCCCTCTTGGTTAGTTGTTTTTGGGCTTTAAATTTTCACTTATTTCCTCAAACCTTGAGACCCCCACCGCCCTGTCCCTGAAGCATTGTGAGTGAGGTAAATCACGGGACGTGTCCCAACAAGTCAGAAAACAAGAGTTTGCATGTACACTGTGCTCATAAAGAGTTCAATTTCAAATCTCAGGAATCAAACCCTCACACCGCGACTGTCAGTAAAGCTAAAACTATTTCACTCATGTCCTTTGCACCACTGGATTATGGTTCGGGGGCCTATGCATTCATGTTATACGTGAAATGAAGAAAAGGTTTTGTAGTTTTTCAATTATTATTTTTAAAATCCAAGATGCCCTAAACTCTATTTAACAAATAAAAAAGGAAAAATTAGAAAATTTCTACTTTAGTCCCTAACCTTTTGCAGTTGGTGCAGAATCTACTCAATCTATAAAAAAAATTTAATCGGTGCTACCGTAGTCTTGATATACAATATCGTTAAAAAATCTGATAAATTGCCATGTACTTGTCCAAAAAATTAATTTTTCATAAAATCTCAAAACATTTTACATGCTTTTGAATCAAACGTTATCTTATCAGTAGGGATGGTAAACATATGCCGAATCGTTCGTAGGCTCGCGAGTTCGACTCTCTTGACTCGATCTAAAGACAGTTCAAGCTCATTTTGAAACAAGTTCTGGTCCGTGCCGAGCTCACTTTTTCTTTCCACTGAATTATTCATGATTCCATCTACCTACAAACCTAATATGAGTCATTTAATTATAATTACACTAAAAAACAATGATACAAAATATACAAAAACATTGAATGAATAAACTGCCTCTTTACATGCTCAATCACTGATTTCTCCATCTTCACTTTGCAGACTGGAATCAAGCAACAATTTATTCCTCACCACGGTGAATTTCTGGAATTAATCGCAGAAAGAATGATCGACTGGTCTCCGTTCAAGTAGTCACTTCTTCAAGAGATTCCTATANAGATTGGAAAACCTGAGCAAAGTCTTGTAAACGGAGAATCTGAAGGTAACAGATCAGACGGAAGAGAACACATACTAGAAAAAGGACTACCGTTCGATAGAACCATGAGCATAACTCAAGGATGCACGCAACAGTGTTGCTCACGATGGCATTGCCCAAGAAGGGTAATCGGGTTCCACCCGAACTATACCACCATATCTTATAAGCACTCTCAGCAGCAAAACAGGGAAGGACAAAGATGAATAGGATTGTCAGTGATCTCTGCACGTAAAGAGCGAAAATTGATTATAACTATGTAACGGAATATGTATTAGAAAGCACTGTACAATAAACGGGATTTTAACTTAAATATTCTTCCATGGCGAGTCAACATTAGACGGTGTTATCAGATTCAAAAAACCGTATGGACTAAGTCCCAATCCACTGCTAGAAGAGCAATGATGAATCGAGTGAAATCAAGAACACAAAGCAAGCACATTTATAACAATTTTCTTACCACGAGAGCTAGATCAACTCTTTTTTTCCACTATTACTGAAATTTGAAAATAAAAGTATTCAAAAGCAACACAAATTTGTAGATAACTTTCCATCAACATAAGAGCCATGTAGAGTTGCTGGTCAGGTCCTATAGCGAAAAGAAAAGTCCCCACAAAAAGGACAACGTAAATTGACACGAACAAGTTACCTAAGAGTGACTAATAAGTTAGAGAACTACTCTCTCCCTCTTATTTCCCCATATTTATTTATTTATTTTTGCCGGGGGGCGGGGGGACACCACCTAAACCGCCGGCTAACCACCATCCAGTCGCCACAAACCACCCTCGCCCACAAAAAATACATATATATGATTAGCTTTCCCAGTTCAGAAAAAAAGGGTTGGAGAAATAAACGTTTGATCAAAAATTCAAAGAGACAAAATTTAAGCAGATACATACATTGAGTTGCTCTGTGTATCCCTTTCGGACAGTCTCGCTCTCATTATATAGCTTATCAAAGAACAAGAATCTCCTCAGCCCAAATTTCCTTATAAAAACCGATAAACAAATAAACGAAATGGCGGCGACGCCGCTGAGAGAAAGCTGCATCACGGTGTCGTACGGCCGGCTGTGGCGGTTGTCGCAATCATTACAAGCCAACACGAAATGCGATAGTGCAGGGATCAGAATGGCAAATACCAAGAAAACGAACCACGAAAGACAGGCAGTCTTTGCATTGGATTGATCCACGCACAGCCATTTGAGCCACCGACGAAAGCTGTGCAATTCATCGTACGCGTGAGACACGCATCTTAGAAGAGCAAAGTTCTTGTCGGAATTCAACAAGGATTCTCTTGACGTTTCGTCCCCCATTATCAAATCTTAATTTCTTCGACGAGGACCATTTTTTTTCAATATTTTTTTTGCGAGAGAGAGAGACACCCGAAATTTGTGGGTCTGATTGAAAATGTTTATTGGGTGGTTTACCGAATGCTTATATTGGGGGTGTGACATTATAAGGGTTTTGCGGTAAGAAGCGAGAACCAGTGCATTAGGCCAAATATTGGTTTGCGTTGGAAATAAACGGCGGGTGACAGCGGTGAATGTGGTCCCTTTCTATTACTGATTTATCATAAGTCCTTGATTGATATAACTAAAATAAATAAATAAATTACTAAACGTTTAAACTAAAATTTACATTTAATTTTAATTACACATTTAATAAAATTCACAATTTAATCAAATTACAAAAAAATCAATTATTAACAAAACCAATCGAAGGCTAAGTAAAGCCCTAAAACTGACACACGTAGTTGTATGTATAAGAAAATGATAGATCTCGTTCTCACTAAATCTTCCTAACCATCATCATAATACAATGGACTTCCTCCAATCTAGGACATCGTTTTGAACTGGATCTTAGCACCCAAAAAATTTGTCTATACAAATTACAATTTAGGCATTTATTTGAAATTTTTCACAGAATTATATATAGATGTTGGAAGTTTAACCTATCCTAGTAGAAAAGTGGCTTAATAAGTCGTCCAATGAAATGCTACTGCTTGGCTAACCTGCTTGCTGCTACAGTGTTCAAAGTCAGTCATGTATCTAGTGTAAGCTCTTCTATGACAGAGTTATTGATGACTAGTATCACTTTGTTTTCAGTGACTCAAAACTAAATTATTGGACATGAATCGATTATATACAACACTTCTCATCAGACAAGCTTGTTTCTTAGCACTACGATTAGGAAGTACGACGCCTTCCCTTCCGTTGAAGTTCTAAAATGTGTAAACTTTGTTCAAAAGTCGTGTAACGAATAACACGTATCGGGACATATAAATCATCTCAATTAGGGTTGTTTGACGTGATCATAGAAACTTTAAAATAAATATTAAATTCATAATTTCGTTTTTACGTGTCACAAGGTTCACCTGATTAGTAGCTGTAGGTATCGACTGAGGCAATAAAGCAATTGTGAAATCATACGCGATATGTCAAATGCAACGTGTTTGGTTCCCCTTCAATGAAGTAAATGGCCAACCCAGCAACCGTCCATTCCACGTGAGATGTGTCCAAATTTTATGATTTTATTCCTAAATGTCAAATTTGCTAGAAAAGTTTTACAAGGTCACCCGACTTACAAATTTATTCAACGTGATTACTCAACATCGATGTGTGTTTAATTTGATAAGTCTTACATATTTGTTTAGTTTAACAATGTCATTTGAGATTGTGGCTAAAATTAATGGCTAGCGCATGACTACGAGAGACTTAGACAACCGTTCTCGACTCGGCTCTGTGTCAACGAGCGGCTCGACTCGTTTTGTCACCCTCTTGCATGATCGAAGCTTGTTTGACACTAAATCAACGTCATTTTGTCAAATAAATTGAAATCGAATCACAAAATCGAATTATTGCTGTATCAATAATAGTTATTGGTTTGATGTCAATATATTCATTTTGTAACCCCAACAACAAATATAATGGTCAATCTAACATAAAAATATAAATTGAACGATCAAAATCGAGAAAATTGAAGTTAGATGATTAACATTAAACAAACCTTTAAGTTGGGTGGCACCAATAAAATTGAAGTTAGGTGATTAACATTGAACAAACCTTTAAGTTGGGTGGCACCAATAAAATTGAAGTTAGATAATAACATTAAACAAACCTTTAAGTGTACTCTGTCAACCAAGTGCATTATGTATGTAGTGGACAATTCGCTTCTCAGGACACAGCCCAGTGGTGTAAAGGATAAGAGTGAGGTTAACTCACGTCTTGCTGGCAGCCATAGTGTGGGGGTTCGATTCCTGATACATGAAATTAGATTCCTTGTAGGCACAGTATACAAGCAGCTCTTAATCTCTGACCTGTTGGAACACATCCCGCGATTTATATCTCTCACAAAGCTCTAAAAAAAGGATGGTGGAGACCCTCAAAATTGAGGTTCAACCTTTATGTAGTGGACAATTCAAGATAATAGAGTCCGTTTTAGGAGAGAATAAAGTATATGGATAAAGGTCAATGAATTTGGTGCAATGTTGCGTGTTTGTAACAAAATGATTGGGTGTGGAGCGCGAGCATCGTCTTTCTTCTTTTACAAGAAGCTGTTTTTAGTTGAACAATGCTACATGGGATAATTATATGTATTAACCAAATAACGTTAATTTGAAAGAAAGTATTAGTTTATATTTTGATGTAATAATTTGAGCTTGCATTTGTTCATGGATCGTTTCAATATTATCAATCAATTGATTAAGTTGTTAAGTAAAAAATATTCGACTTGTAATTCGATCTGAATTTTATTGTCAAGGTTTGAAAAATAAAAATGAAAACTTTATTTTGATATGATTGTCTTGATTTTATTAAGGTGCGTTTTTTATTTTAGTAATAATATTGAGCGACATTTTGCCATTATTGAATTGGACCACGTGAAATTTGTCAAATTGATCACATAAATTTGATTTTACTTAATTGTTGTACGCAGGACTTTAATCCTAAGCAAGTATTGGACTTTCATTTTTATCTTGAAATTCTTTAATTTTTCAATGGGATAGTATCAATTTATTTATCAATATCTCAGTGCTTTAGGAATAAAATGAAATAACTCGGAAAATATATTCAAATTATGAAATTCGTAATCTATTAAATAGGCACCATCATGACCTCAAAGGATTTTATAATGGACAACTAAATCTAAACTCGATAATTAGACATTAACTATTGAATTAATATTGTGACATAATCACATAAAACTTTATCGGTGACGCTATAAATCATACTCATTTAAATGTTGTCCATAAAATATGACGAATTAATTACAATTATATTTTAATGGGTCCTTCTCACGCTTCCTCCTCATTTCTTTTCATGCTATTTTTTTCTCCATAAAACTTCCTTTCTGTTTTTTCCTCAAATAATTTTATAAAGTTTATAAATTGAGTTTTGCTGCACTAATATAGGGGATGACCAAACACACACATGGGGGGTCGACATTTTTTATTTCACTTGAGAACCTGCACGCAAAAATGTGAGGAGCGATCACCCCCTCTATCAAGTAATTCAGTCACTTCAACTTTATTCTTATAAAATATATTGAGTCAACCCATCAAACGCCATCCTTAGATATAAACAGAGTTCTTCATAGGGTCTATATATTTATGCCACATCACAGACAAATGTAGATGATTTACTCTATAAATTTTTAAATGCACGTAAGATGAGATAGTAAGAAGTCGCTAAGCATGTGCAAACCTCCTTTTTTGAGGCTTCGACACGAAAAATAGGCCATGGGAAAATTTTTGAGCTCATCACAAATGCTATCTACGGATTTGATAAATGACTACTATTGAATCTTGCCGTCTCTCAATGCAGGTCTAATCACTCGAGCATACTAATTCATATTGATCAAAGTAAAAAACATGATACCTTTACAACCACAATTTAATCAGAATTAAGAAGTTTCATAGCAAAATTAGAAGGAAAGTGATATTTCGCCAACGTTCGAGTGACTAACATCCTCTCAAATCAAACATAAAGTTTGGAAGGAACATATATCTTGTCGTCCTTGCATTGATCACTCAATTTAAATACGACCAGAACTAGAACCTCTAAACCCGTCAAGTTAAACTTGGTTCCATGACCTCAAAATATTGTAGATCTTGGTGGACTTATTTGTAAATATTCCAAAATAGAGGAAATATTTTCCAAATTTTTTAGAAATCCAATTACTTAGGTCATGTTTGAGCCACATTTTTTCAAAAAAAATACATTTTTAAACAGTGATTTGATATAATTTCAATCACACATTCTTCAAGAAAATAATGTTACATGTAAATTAAATTTTTTTTTAAATTTTTTAATCACATTTTTTTCATCGATATATTATTTAAAAATGTATTATATGAAAAATAATGTGGCTCAAAGAAGTGTTCAATTATCCACATCCACCCCATTGATTAAAGGTTGAACCTCAACCTTGAGGGCACCCACGGCTCCACCTTTAGAGTTTTGTGAAGGAGGTAAATCGCGGGATATGCTCCAACAGGCCAGAGAACAAGAGCTGCCTGTTTACTGGACTTACAAAAAGTCCAATTCCATATCTCGGGAGTCGAACCCTCATACTACGACTGTCAGTAAAACGTGAGATAACTTCATTTCTATCATTTGCACCACTGGGCTATGCCCCAGGGCACATCCACCCCATTGATTGCTTACATATTACGCAGCGTTTTTTCCACAGCACGACGCCGTAGAAAAGTACTGAAATGATTCAGCCACTCAAAATTGGCCGTCGGATTAGACCTAAACCCACCTCAGCCGTCTATCTGTAACCTCCAGAATCCTGATTGATTCCCCTTCTTTATATCCTTAAAAAGTGGACACTCAAGGGCACAAAACCTCGCTACAGCGGCAGTAGTATTCCAAAATTCAACCCGTCAAAGCAGAGGCGATCGGCGGCCACTAGACAATGTCAGGTGTCACTCAAGACGAAGACAAGAAGCCCGGAGATCAGTCGATCCATATCAATCTTAAAGTCAAAGGCCAGGTTTCAATTTTTTTTTTTTTTATGTTCCTTGTTTCCTCCGCCCCTTTTTTCCCGTTTAAACGCTTTGAATTTGTTTTTCTAGATAGGTTTTTGTGCCGTATAATGTTTTAATTTACTCGATCAGAGTGGAGTTTGTTTCTAGGGTTTTAGAACTACGTATTTTTTTTTAACATTTTTAAGGATTTGTTTGTGTTTTAATGTTTATATGAATGTTCAGAATGAATACTGCGTTGTTGTTGATAAAATTTCCGTTTTCCATTTAAGATTCTAAATGCTTTGTAATTTTTCTTCTAGCTTATATAGTTTTCAAGATTTGTTATGTTGTTTTAATTGTAGATATTTTGATTATTAGAGTCTTACTGGGTTGGTTTTACAGTTCAGATTGCTGTGCCTATGAGTATAAGATTGTTTAAAATGAGAACAGTATTGTTGTTGTTCTACCCTCTACTGATGAAGGATTTATGTAGCGTGTTTCATATAGGAAGTAAACTTTTTATAGCTTGACCTATTGTTATCACTAGTCAAGATGAAATTTCTTGAGAAGGAAGTTTTAAAATAATGAAAAGTACTTAAAATTCTTCTCGTCCAAACAATCTTAAAAAACTTGTTTTTCTCAAGAAATTCCTGATTAGCCAATTTTCTGCACAGTTTAACCCTTCGATTATGGTACCATTTAGCCCTTCCACTGGGGATAACTGGTCAATGGCTAAGAGAAGTCTTCCTCTGTTCCCCCCTATTTTTAGAAGAAGAAATTTGTTTTGCAAACGGAATTCTCTTGGTAGTAAAGATAAAGATGCTCTTAGTTTTTGGTTGAGTTACTAGAACTAGAGGTCCACTTCAAACCTTTGAACCGCGTTATACCGATTGTTGGAGAGGATTTAATTTAAAAGAAAAATGAAAGCAAAGAAATGTATGCATATATTGTGAGTTTCATATGGTTCCATTTTACCAATTGTTTCAAGAATGAAGCCATGTTTAGTCATCGGTCCACCTGAATATTCTTGCTCATTTATTTTTTGGTTTGTTGCTTTCTCTTTCAAGTGATATATAAAGCTGTTCCTTGACCTTTATCTCCAGTCACAATCTTCAATCACCCTATGTATGTATGTCTGTGTCGTGTGTGCTAGATTTATAACCTCTGATGTTCAGACTCTTTGAAATACAGAAATAGTGTCCAACATGGGTATGGGTATGGAATATGTGTCCGATCCTCCAAATTTCAACTAGATACTTCGTCTTTTTTGCTTCTCCTTCTTTCTTCTTTCCTTTTTTTTCTCTCTCTTTCCTTTACTTTCCCTGTTTCTTCTTTCCTGTTTTCACTCTTTATAAACCTAGCGTCGCCGCTTAGAGGGTGGAGAATGACGGCGGCGGCGTTAGTTTTTTCCTTCTTTTTCTTTCTTCTTTCTTTCCATTTTCTTCCTTTTTTCCTTCTCTCTCTCTTTCTCTCTCTCTCTCTCTCTCTCTTTGTAATGGTGGTTTAGGGTTTCGTTGGTATAAAATGAAAATGGGTTCTATATAATGCAACTTAGTACTCCATTAGGTCCAAATTGCAATCAAATCTCTAATTTTCTATTTTATATAACATATCGTAATTCCCATTATTGAAAATTAAACTCCAAAATTCTATTTTATTCGTCTTAACCCCATATTCAATATTTATTTTTTCTTTGTTAATAATTTATTTTTGTTTATTCAAAATAACATTTTGGATTAGTAAAAAAATTGAAGTTTGAAAGATGTACACACGTATCCGTGTCCGAAATTTGGACTCCTAGCCATGTCCCATTATCCTATATTTTAAAAAATAAAAGATCTGATCTATACTCGTACTCAAGTCCGAGCATCATAGTTTATAACTCTAGAAGTGCTTCTATCTACTGCCTTTATTTAGTTTTGCTGCTAGTAACATTTTAACACTCTTATTCTCATGGTTAAATTATCTGAAAACAACCCTACTTGTACAATCTTATTTGTACAATCATGGATGACAACCTTTGTTAGCATCTTCATATCCATCCATTCTTAAAACTGTCAAAAATTGTTTTTTATCTCATTGGTCTGGATTTTGTCACCTCCAACACTGTCAACAATGTTTGTCAACCAATATTGTGCAAATAGCTTAATTCAACTGAAAAATGACTTGCCTCCTTGGCCTTTTATGATTTTATTATTGATGTTAGCATATTCTACCACAAGTGTCTTTGAATAGAGTGTGCTTTTGAGCCATTTAAACATTTACCATGTCAAGAAGTTCAGATAAATTTATTGTCAAGAAAAGGTAAATTTAAGGTTCTAAAGTTTTTTGATGAAGAAAGTGGTGTTCGTCTACATTCTGGTATTTGGATGCATGGATATTTATTCGTAGAAGTGCCTAATCTAGTTACTTTATGCAGGATGGAAGTGAAGTAGTTTTCAGAATTAAGAGAAACACACAGCTGAAAAAGCTCATGAATGCTTATTGCGATAGACAATCTGTGGAATTTAACTCAATTGCTTTCTTGTTTGATGGTCGTCGCCTCCGAGCGGAGCAGACTCCAGACGAGGTCAACTTTCCATTTCTCTCTCTCTCTCTCACACACTCACACACAACATGCAACTGTTCACGTCTTCACAATCTATTCACGCACTAAAATACATAAAAGTTACAGTTGCATTTTTGTTTGATCCTTCCAGGGTGAGTAGACTTCTGATGAATTCACTTTTCCTGTGCTTTCTCTCTCTGCGCACTTGCACACTTTTGCATTCTTGGGAAATTACGTTTTTTTGCAAGCTATTCATTCACCTAAATTGCATTTTTTGTTTACAGCTGGAAATGGAGGAAGGTGATGAGATAGATGCCATGCTTCATCAGACCGGAGGTACAACTGCATGGTAAAGGAGGTCGAGTCCACATATGCCTTTTGGAAATGTATTATAAATTAGTGCCGCAAACTTATTTAACAGCGGCAGTTGAGATATTTTAATTCCTCGTCTTTTGGTGTGTTTTGACCGTCTTTTAGACTCCACATGCTTGCTGACCGTTGTCGAAATTTGCATCAGTATTGCATAGTTTCAACTGGCAGTTAACCGATCAGTTTCAGGGGCTTTGGTTTTCATTTTACTTGTTAGTTTCTTGTTATTTCTTGAGTGGCTATTTGAGATGAACATAATGAAATTCACCGACATTTACTTCTTGTAGAAGAGTTTTATGAGGAAGCTCCTCTAAAGTTCTTCTATTCGAACAAAACTACCACCTGAAGCGCATTACCATATCCTACAAAGATCCAGAATAATGCCAATTAAGCTTCCAGGCAAGAATTCAACTTGCTAGTGTCTTCGTTTTTAAAATATAGATAGTAAGGCTGGTATTAATCCTGGGTTTGGTTTGATGGCTTCGTTGGGGGTGGAGTTGTGGGGGGTTACGCTTCAAAAGCAGTAATATCACAAGCGTGTGCTATGTCTGCCTACAACCATGCCAATCACATTTAAATAAGTATGCTAACCAACTTACCAAGACATTTACTTAACAATTTTATTTATTAATTATTTTAAAATAGGGATGGTTCTATTTATTTATTTAAACGTGATAGGAATGGCTTTAGGTATAGGAAAGAATGTATTGTGTAATTATGTAGGTTTAGACGTGTCTAGCACTAGGAATAGAAATTTATTGACATTGTCTAATCCGATCTGCTTTGAGAGGTTACACACGTGTGTGTGTGTATATATATATATATAAGCGTGTGGATGGATGAGAAATATTTGGTTGTTGATTTTGTCCATACATTTTTATTTTGCTCTTGGCCAACTGTGTCTTTATTTAAATTTGTTCACAGTATGAGAAAAATAAAGTTCTAAAAGAATGGCTACCAACAAATGCTGAAATATATGGAGGATGGTATAAATCCTGGGTTTGGTTTGGTGGCATCGTTGGGGGAGGGTAGTCAGGGTGGAGGATGGCTGTTATAAAACCTGGGTTTGGTTTGATGGCTTCGTCGGGCTGTGGGGGTCGAGGGTTTTTAGAGGGTTAGGCATCAAGAATAAACACATTGGTTTACACCTTGATGAGTTGGCTGATTTTGGTGCATTGACTTAATACCACCTTTTCAATAAACAGTAATGCTACTTGCAGTTGCTGATTGTCAAAGTTGTCCTACATAACATACATATGGCGATTAATAATTTGATAAATACCACATTAATGCATCAAATCAATAATCGCCATATGTATGTGGGCGTATGATGATTGCGAACTGATCGCAACTAGTATTATTTTTCAATAAATGACCATATTTTTGACACATAAGGGAGTGTAACCCAATACGTAGAAAATAGGTGTCAACAAAAGCAATAATATCAAGCCCTTGCTACACCTACCGAAAAACGAATGATGCTACGGACTTGAAAGAGTAAGACTTTTAAATACATAAAGAATAATTCTATTTGCAGTCACTTACTACTGTATTTGTTTTACGTCGCGATTAATGATTTGATGTATGAGGCAATAAAAAATTACTATATTAATGTATCAAATCACTAATCGTCACGTGGAACGAGTACAGTAATGAAAGACTACAAATAACATTACTCATAAGTAATAATTAAATAGAATCATTTCTATCACTTTCCAGTATGCTAACCAACTTACCAAGACATCACTGGACAAATTTACTTATTAATTATTCAAAATAGGAAAAAATGTATCATGTAATTATGTCGGTTAAGACATGTCTAGCACAGCACTCCAAGATTAAGGAATGGTAATTAATTAACATTGTCTAATCCGATCTGCTTTGAGATGTTACACATTAAGCCATGTCTGGTCTCATTAAAATACTAATTCATTTTTTCTTTTCTTCTTATCAATCACACGTTCTATAATAAAATAATATTACACTTAATTTCAAAACTTTTTTTTCTTTTTTAATCACACATTTTTTAAATAAAAAATTATTCCAACCCATTAAAATTCCGAATAATGGGGGGTCAAACGAAGTCTAATATATACTATATATAAACGAGTGGATAGATGAGAAATATTTGGTTGTTGACTTTATCCTTTCATTTTTTATTTGAATAATGCTACATAATCTCACAGAGGTTGTAACCTCATTTTAAGTGGCACTAAATGATAGGTTAAATGAAAGGTGAAATTTAATGAGTCATTTAACTCCACGTATCATTCAATGTCATATTAGCGCCACCTAATCATTTAATGTCACATTAACGCTACCTAAACTGGGGTTGCAACATTTTTATTTGAATAATGCTACGTAGCCTTATTGGGGTTATAACCTTAATTTAGGTGGCGTTAGATGATATACTAAATGAAAGATGAAATTGAATGAGTTATTTAGCTTTACTTATCATTTAATGTCACATTAACGCTATCCAAATTGTGGTTGTTGGCGCTAGATAATAGGCTAAATGAAAGTTGAAATTAAATGAGTCGCGTAATTCCACCTATTATTTTAATATGTGGTTAAAATGTAAGAAATATAAAACTTATTTGAGAATGTATAGTTAAAAATAAGTGTGGAAGATAAGTGATATTTAATTAATAAAAATCAGACAAGGGCTAATTATCATTATTTTTTTTGACATGTACCAATTTCATATAAAAATTGTTTGTAAAAGATCGGCACGAAACCCCTTTCTTGGTAGCTTGGTGTAAGCAGCATATTAGCCCACTACGATCTACTTTTATGTTGGTTGTGACTAGCCTTGTTGGGTCGTGTGGAATTTTGACCTCATTATACATTTCTAATTTCGCAGTTCAAATAAATAAATTGCTTATTTGTTAAAAAGCTAGTTAAATTGGATTAAATTTCACTTTTGACTACACATTCAGAGCTTGTTTGGGAGTAATTTTGAGAATTGATTTTTTGACCGTTAGGAGAAAGGTGTGGTGCACCTGTGAGAGAAGAAGTCGAATATGACGGATGGAATAATGAAATAACGGTCAAAAAATTAATTTTTTGGACCAAAAAATCACTCCCAAATAGGCTGTCATTATATCCATGACTTTTATTCACTTTTCACCGCACATATTCGTGAGATCGATAAACTTTTATCAATTTTTAACAAGGTTTGAAGCCGAAGTTTTGCAGATACTCTTTTGCTCTAAAAATAAACACAAACGTAGGCACGTGCCTGGCATGGGTATATATAGAGGCAAAGGCAGTAGCTCTGCCACAGATAGCGAAAGCAGAAACCAACACGAAAAGAATGAGGCAATGCAAATGCAAGCCTTTTCCATTTTTTATTTCTGTAATTTCACTGTTCAATGCATTTCAGTTCTCTGAATCATTCAACTATGGGGAAGCCCTTTCCAAGAGTCTCCTATACTTCGAAGCACAGCGTTCCGGCCGCTTGCCGTACAACCAGAGAGTCACTTGGCGCCATCATTCCGGCCTCACCGACGGATTAGAACAGGGGGTCCGATCACTTAAAAATCCACATTTCAACATTCTTTGTGAATTTTTTTTATTGAAATTTGTGAATATGTGATCATTTTTGCTTAAACAGGTGGATGAGGTTTGTGAAGTTTATTGTGTGGTTTTTTGCTTGAAACTGGTGGATTTAGTTGGACATCACTATCATTATCCCACATTTGTGTGATGAAGCATTTATTGTAAAATTTTGGTCAAAATATGTGTAGTTTATTCATTATTGTGAGTGATTTTTGCTTGAAAGTGGTGGATTTGGTTGTATGTTACTCTGATTATTCACATTTATTTACTCTGTAATTTTGATTAGAATTCGTGAAGTTTATTATGTATGGTTTTTGCTTGAAACAGGTGGATTTGGTTGGTGGTTATTATGATGCTGGTGATAATGTTAAATTTGGTCTTCCAATGGCTTTTACCATTACAATGCTTTCATGGAGTGTTGTTGAGTACAGGGATCGGATTGTGGATGCAGGGGAATATCGCCATGCCCTCGAAGCTATCAAATGGGGAACCGATTATTTCATTAAAGCACATACTCATCCACATGTTCTTTGGGCTCAGGTAATTTAAAATTTTCTCTCTATTTGGGTGCTTTTTTGAAAATTTGAACAAAAGAAGCGCATTATATGCACGGCTGCCGACAATTTTCAAAAAGTGTGAACAATATCCTCCAATAATGCCAGAAAATGCTTTGAATTTTCGGTCTTAACAGTTTCTCCTCAATTTCTGCGTGGGTCCATTACTGCAGTGTCAGAAATTACTCGTAATTTTCGTGGTAATTTGGGGGCACAAAAGTGAATGACGTGATGATATTTTGCAGGTCGGTGATGGCGACACCGACCACCTCTGTTGGCAGCGGCCGGAGGATATGACGACTTCCCGGCGTGCTTACAAGGTGGATGAGGAGCACCCAGGCTCCGAAGTCGCCGGAGAAACGGCGGCGGCCATGGCGGCGGCGGCCATTGTGTTTAGGACAACAAACCCACATTACTCCCTCCTGCTTTTGGATCACGCACAACAAGTAAGTTAATTAGATTGTTAAGCAGCGAGACAAAGTAGAACTTTACCAAATTTAACAAGGGCTCAACGTAATCTGCTTTTTTGTGCACCAAAACTACTACTTAAGCATATTATAGGAAGTCTTATTAAATTGATGCATTTTTATAAAGTTCCTTAAAATATGCTAAATGGTTTCGTTCTAAAGCTTAGGTTGTTAGTTAAAAAATAAATTTATTTATTTAAATTTCAGTTTTCAAATGTATATCCACGTACAATTTTCATAACGAAGCCAAGAACTTGTTTATTCAAATTGTATCTTGTAACGCAATTTTAGTTATTATTATTGTGGCGTGTTGGTTAATGACGTTTGAATATAGCACTAGATAGTTCCCGTTTGGTTTTGGTAAAAAACAAGAATTTTTAGTAAAAGAAGGCATACTTCTTGTTTAAACGTACCATATGAGTACAGGTATAATTAATTCATTAAATTACGAGGATTTGTTATGCAGTTGTTCGAGTTTGGTGACAAGTATAGAGGAAAATACGACAACAGCATTGGAGTAGCAAAGGGATATTATACGTCGGTGAGCGGATACATGGATGAGTTGTTATGGGCAGCTGTGTGGCTATACAAAGCCACCGACAACCTATATTACTTGAATTATGTTATAGAGAATGCCGAGTCCTT